GGCCAGCGGTTTAAAGTTTCCTACTTTGCTGAGGATTCTGCCAAACTATGGCCTATGGGCCAAAGATGGAACATTACAGAAGAACTTTGGGTGACTGACCAGGCAGTGAGTGGCCTTTGTCAATTCTAGAGTTTATATATTATCCTTCTGTGATCTTTGGTGAAGTTGAATACAAATAGTCATGGTTATAGTTTTCCTTAGTTATGATAAAAGATATGTTACATACAAGACTTTAGACTCACAGAGATATGATAGATGGAGTGTTTTCTTTAAATCTTGCTAAATGTTAATGAACTATGTATTGTAACTGTAGTTCTTACTTGATAATTGTTTTGTTATATATAATTTGACTATGTTAAAGTTAAAACCTTGTTTTTATTTAGACAAAAAAAAGGAGATGATAGAGAAAGTTTTCTGTACATATGTTTCTCTTATTGGTTGATAAATAAAACACTGTTGGTCAACAGGGAAGCAAGATAGGTGGGACTAGCAGACAAGGAGCATTCTGGGAAATGTAGTAAGGAAGAAGTCACCATGTGAACCCAGGAGGAGAGGATGCATGAGTCTGGTGTTCTCAGTAAGATAAGACCTTGTAGAAATACATATATTAGTAGTTATGGGTTAAAATTTGAGATAGAGCTAGCCAATAAGAAGCCTTAGATATTGGCCAACAGCATTATAACTAATAGAGTCTCTGTGGGTTATTTGGGGATGACATGACATTGGAACCATGCTGGCAGGAAGAGTTATTATAACAGATATACAACATGGTTCAAGTTTAACAGCATGACCAAAATAAACTTGGGAAAGAAAAGATTCATTTCATCTTATAATTCTGGCAATCAGGGAAGGAACTAGAACAAAGACCATGGGTAGGCACTGCGTACTGACTTGCTCTCAATGGCTTTCCCAACCTGCCCCAGGTGAACTGGGCCCTCCCACATCAATCATTAATCAAGAAGATGCCCTACAGACTTGATTATAGGCCAGTCTGATGGAGTTATTTTCTTAATTGAGGTTCCTCTTTCCAGATGAGTCTTTTTTTTTTTTTTTTTTGGTTTTTGGAGACAGGGTTTCTCTGAGTAGCTTTTGGAGCCTATCCTGGCACTCACTCTGGAGACCAGGCTGGCCTCGAACTCACAGAGATCCGCCTCCCGAGTTCTGGGATTAAATTTCCAGATGATTCTGTCTTATGTCAAGTTGATACAAACCTAATCAGGACAACCACCATGCAACATTCAAAAGCATGTAGGATGAATTGTTATACTCTAACAAATCTGAGATAGCATCAGCCTTCATGAATTCTCTTCACCCGTTCCTTCAAATCAAGTCTCATTTAGAACCTCACTTGCTTTTCCCTTTCTCCTGATTTCACATCAGTGAGTGGCTGATGAGCCAAACACTCCATTATATATCACTGGCATTAATAGACACAATAAAGTTTATGTTTTGACTGTATTTATTTATACAGATGAGCACAGTTAAAAATCCCTTCAAGTTAACCATATAAATCAACATTAGAGATAATGTTATTCAACTGATGATGCAGAAAACAATACTGATTTTGTTGTCTCCTTCCTCCCGAAGCCTCTTTCCTTTGCTAGAATGTCCCAGGTACTGTACCTCAGTAACAGGAACTGGCTTCATGAAGACACACTGATCTTGAAGCACATTCTGGCATATCTCCAAATAGTTGCAGCAGGGTTTTGCTTAGGTTGTGTTTTGTTTTTTTTTTAACATGCTGTTTATACTGAGAAAATGTTGTTAATGTTCAAATTAAAGCCAACATCTATAACATGATTCTCACTGCCCCTGCTCCATGACCAGTGTATGTCTCTGGCAGCTTCTTGTTCTCTTTTCACACCATCTACCTCCTTTGCCACCATCTGACAGCTTTTCCCACCCATACTGCACTTCTGCCCCTGTACACTGCATTTCCTATCCACACTGCATTCCCCACCACACTGCATTCCCCTTCCACACTGCATTCCCCTCTTGCACTGTGTTCCCCCAGTGTGTTTGGCTCTTGTCTATACAGGTATTAGGCACATACTCATCTCTGTCTCTTTTGTAACATTTTTTAAGTTAATTCACTTACCAAGTGATTCATCATTGTATTATGTTTATTTCATTTTTGTATTTATTAAATGTTTTTCTACATGTATATATGCATAACACATGCATTTCTGGTGCTCTCAGAGGCCAGAAGAGCCATGTGTACCCTAGGATTGGAATTACCAAGAGTTGTGAACTGCCATATGGATGCTGTGAATCAAACCTAAACCCTCTGGAAGGGCAGCAAGTGCTGTTAACTACTGAGTCATCTCTTCAGACCCCCAAAAGTACAGTGAGTAGGTATAATAGCAGTATCTTCATAGCTGGATTGTGTGTGTCCATCACAACAATTGATTCTAGAACTGCTCATTACCCCCCACACAAATCTTGGAACATTTATCTACCAGGCCAAATTCTCCCATCACCAACTACAGTGCAACATTAAGCTGATTTTTGGCTTCATGAATTTGATTATTCTGAATGCTTTGTATGGACAAAAGCATGCAGGCTTTGACTTTTTACATATTCAAGGTTTCTCTATGTTGTAGCAAGTATAAGAACTTTATTACTTTTATTGACAAATGATAGTCCATTAAACACCATGTTTTATCTATTTAACAGTTTATTGACTTTTGAATAATTTCCATTTTTCCATTAAGAAAAATGTTGTATGAGTATTCTTATGATGGTTTCTGTGTGAACATGTGTTGGCATTTCTCTTGCATGTGTATTTAGGAGTAAGATTGCTAGACCCTACAGTAACTCATTGTTTCACCAGTAGAAGAACTGTCATAGTTTTCCAAAGTGCCCGTTCCAGGCTCTGTTCCCACCGGTCATGAATGAAAGTGTCAGCTTCCCGATATCGTCAGCATTTGCTGTTCTCCCAGTCTTTACACAGGATAGCCATCTGTGTGGACAGAAAATAGGGTCTCGTTTCTCTCTCTTAGCTTTTGATCTAGAAAATTTCTCGTCCTTCCTGAAGCTGTTGCTTTAAGGTAAATTCCAGCAGGAAACTTCCCTTGACTACCTTATTTATACCTGGGATAGGCTGGGGTTTTCTACCTTCCCCATTAACACTGAGGGAAGGTACCCCTTATGTTGAGATCATCTACTTCAGAATTAATATGATTACCTTTTCATTTGAATTCACTTTCCCCACATTCCCACAGAGCAGGTTACTGAAGAAAAATCTGACACAGCACCAGAACTAGTATTGCTAATGCCTGTGTCACATCACAGCATAACCTGTCTGTTTAGAAAAAAGTCATTCCACAAGTGGACAATGTGAACTTTAAGAAATAAAGACCATAAGGGAACTGGATTTCCTCCTTCTGCTGTCAATACAGCTTTACTTCTAGGGCTTTTGGTGGGCCTGGGAGAGGGCCCTGCAGTACATGTCACCTTCTCTGAAAATTCTACTGCCAGTGGCCCACAGGTTCATTTTTAAAGCATTTATCCAAGCAGATGTCATGATTAGTTAGCATAAACAAGTTAGTATGGATGTTTTTTAACAAGACTCTAAAGTTAGACATAAATGTAAACTCCTGGCCCACCAAAACTAGCTGGGTGTCCTAAGAAAGACTGTGTGATCCTACTAAATCTCCATTTCTCTACCTGTAAGTGGTGAGGGGCAGCAAAGAGCTCACACTGTAGAGTTTTTTATGGACATTAAATTAAATAATGTGTTCAAAACAAAATTTAACACAAATGAAACATTTTGTCATGCTAGCTCTGTGGCTATTAATATTATTTCATGATTAGTGTTAATGCATAAACTGGTAGAATGTATACACCATGTACATTTTAAAGGGGGCTATTTACATTTTCCTTAGTAAGAAAATGTACTCCCTGAATATGAGGTAGGAATGATGGCTGTATGAGCACTGTTACTTCTACAGGTAATTTCCCATGTGAAATTTCAGTTACCTTAACAAGCCTCCTTAACATAGATTTCCAAATGTCTCCATAGCAGTCATTTCGAAAGAATCTTGGTTGCTCGGACCAAATTGCACTTGGTTCAGCTCACATTTTTGCAATATGCATGTAATATGGCTACCTTGGGTGTTGGTAGGCTGAACAAGAATTGTTGCTCAAGCATTTCTTTGTCTCCACTGTGGACTACACTGTGCTGGATGCTCTCCTGGGGGAGTTCATAATGTAAAGACTCTGAAAGTCCATCTAAAAGGACCTGACAGAAGGAAGACTGTTCATTCATTTAGTCAAGTACTGACTGTCAAATAAAAGCCTGCATTGGGTACATGAAAGAGAGGGAAATCAAATCCTACACCATCAGAGATTAGTAGTCACCACTGAGGAAGCAATGGAAGCAGGAAAAAACAAACAGCAAGCAAGAATGCCATCTAGACTGCTTTACTGCTAACAAACACCACAAATGTTACAAAGCAGCATGAGGAGATTAAAAATGCTGGAAGAAATGTGTAATTATATTAAAATTTCAAAGATTAAAAAGGAGGAAGAAATACAATTAAAATGTCTACAGGAAAGAAGCCACTGTGGTGAGAAGTCAGCAAGATGTTCCCTAGGGAGATTATGCAGCCTAGATGCTGAGGAGGTAAGCACAGGCAGAAGATACTCAGCAGGTTATACCAAGCTTGGTATAACTGAGGTAGGTTAAGCAGATTATGCACTAGAGCAGGACGATGGAGCTTAAAGCATTGAGAGAAGGGGCTGGAGACAGGCAGGGCAGGATGCAAAGGCTGTCCTCATTTTAGATTCTCTTTCCCTTCTTGCATCTGCTGGATGAATTGCCTCCTCTGTGGTATTTAGTTCCACAGGCCCAGGTAGAATCGGTAAATTCGTTAATAAATTCTCTACTGGATGCTTCATGGAACTCCCAAACATACCTAACTTGACATTAGCAGATGTGACAGCTAGCATTTCCCCTTCTACAGTATGTCATGTCTTCTTGCCTCTGGTGGTTTTAGGTTGCACCAGGTGACCTTTGAGGTACCCACCTGTGAGGGGAAGGAGCGGCAGAAGCTGGCACTGGTTGGCGACTCCTCGTCCTCGGCAGAGTTCTTCGTCACCGTGGCTGTCTTCGCATTTCTCTACTCTCTGGCTGCCACTGTTGTGTACATTTTCTTCCAGAACAAGTACCGGGAAAACAACCGGGGCCCACTCATTGTAAGTTGCTGTCTTTTAGAAACAACTTCTGTTCCTTATAGCTTCTTTGGTTAATGTCTGAAGGGCTTTGTCACCCGTGCCTCTGAGGTGTGTGAAAGAAAATCATGTTTGTTATCATCCAAATCTTCTCAATCTACAACAGTAAGTGCAATGCCTACAGGTCGGTCCCTGTGTGATGGCGTGGGAAAGGAGCACAAGGGCTGGTAGAACCCATTTTAAAAACAATATAAACAATGCTTAGGAAGTCCATGAGACACAGAAAAGAAGAGGGAGGCCTGCTGTGGACTTGTAGGTTCAGCATTATGGAATTAGGCAGCCATTATTTTTTAGTAGCCATTTAGATGGTAAATTTGTGCTTTTTTGAAATGCATTGTTTCTGTTTTGTAAGGTAGCCTGAACACCCCCTCCTGCCTCTCTGCCTCTCTGTGTTCTCTCCTCTCTCTCTCTCTCTCTCTCTCTCTCTCTCTCTCTCTTCCTCTCTCTCTGTTCTGTACTCTCCACTCTTCTCCCACTCTCTCATCCCTCAGTTCTATCACTCCTCCACTGCTTTTCTTTGTCTTTGACAGTGGTTCAAGGACTCGGGTGAAATCAATATAGCCTTACATATCCTAATATGACCATACAAACACCTAGGGAGATACAAAAATTCTCCAAAAGATACATGGGTATAGATACTTTTAGGAAAAATAAATAAATCTCACAACCTTTACAGGTACATTTACTTGAATTCTATTTTCCTGAAATGACCTGCATCTAAAAATGTCTTACTTTTTCCTCTTTATAGTTATGTTGGTTACATATCTGTTTCTATAACAAAGAATCTGAGATAATAAACTTGAATAGAGAAAAGGATTCTTTGAGCATATGGGTTAATGAATCATGGCTTGTGATTGGACAGATCATTATTCTTGGGCTTCAGATAGGGGTGCCGAAGAGCAACAGTGAGGAGCTTGTGGTAGAGCAAACTGTTCACCTTGTGGCCAGAGAACAGAAGAGAGGTTCAGGATACCACAGTCTCCTCAAAAGGCACATCCTCCAGTGTTCTGTAGACTTCTCATAAGGTCCCATCTCCCCAGATTTCCACTGTCTCCTCAAACTGCCACCATGAGAACTAATTATCTAACGCATAGGCTTTGGGGGGACAATGAATAACCAAACAATAGCAATTGTGTACCCCCAATTCACACAAGAAAGCAATCTTTCTTGCCATTCCAAAACTTGTTGCACAGCATCTTTACAAGACACAATTCACTAGAGGCAGTGGAAAGTGACAGTCTTGCATATCGTCAGTGCTGACAGCAATGAATGTCTAATGGCTGGGCCAACAGTCTTTGGCTATGAGGTGACATACAAATTGTTTGCTCTCAATAAAATCAATATTTAGTTGATAGGTCATTTAAAAATGATTTTGATGAGAGATTGCTATGTGGTTTAAGGTCTATGAGTCAGAAATAAGAAATTAGCAACATTGCTATAGAAAACTTTGTTGCTTCTCACCTGCCCCTAATGCAAACATCTTTCCCAGCAGTATATAATATACCCAAAGGCATTAGAAGCTAAGTGAAGAGAAATAACAGCCACCCAACCAAGAGACATAAATGTGCAACACAAGTTAGCTTTTTAGATTAATAATTACTTATTAACTATGTAGAAAATTTTGTTGCTTTAGACAATTTGCGTTAATAGTAATCCCATGATCACCCAAGCCCAATGAAATTTATAATACTAACACCTTGGAGCCATGAACAATTAAAAAGTAATTTAAAATTGCATGTATTTTTTTGTTACAAAGAAATACAGTACGAGAATCAATAAAGTGATTTCAAGAGTACTATAGTAGGCTGTAGTTCATTAAGAAAATAGAAACATAAGTTCAAAGTGGATAAATAATAAATTTAACAAATAATTAAAGAATTTGTTTATTGTCTTTTTAATGAATCACGAAAATTCAAATAAATATTAGTTTCATCATTTCAAATTGGCAGACTACTACCAGACTTTCAAATGTCCATTCTGAGAATATGTTAGAAATCATATTGTTTCAACTAGTTTTCACATGTAGGGGTAGGTTTTTAGAAATTTTTTAGAAAATTTTACAAACCTCCTATCTGATCCATATATTATGGAGGGATAGCGGAACAATTTGTGAAAGGCAACTACAAGAATGTCTGCCTAGGACACTGTGGTTAGATGCAGGAAGAGTTCAAGCTTAGATTGGCACACTTTAATATATTCACTTGTCAGGACTTGTCAATATAGCAGGACTCATATCTTTGGGCAGGTATCTTTTC